GACATGGACCTGCACGAGGAACGACACAAGAGGAAGACATCAGTACCCGAGTTCGCATTCCACACTCAACGGCGCTTCAACAACTCGAACCGACAGAATAAGCAACAACAGCAGCAGCACGTACCACCATTCTGTCACCTCTGCAAGACATCTGGACACCCCCGTACACACTGTCCGAGTCTGCGACAGTCAACGACACCACAACGTCAACTTCGTCCTTCAAGCAGCCAAGTGGCATCCACACAGGCGCATCCCGCGAATCAGACGCAGACTTCAAAACCTGCACAAGGAGCAAGAAACATTGTAAGCTGTATGGCGAGACTGTCGGACTCCTGCATCACCGAGTCACCACCACACTACTCACCAGAAGAATTGCTCGATGAGGGTACTCCTCGCCGTGAAACACTGGAGCCGAACCCGACATACGCAGCCATCGCCCAGAGTGAGCCGTCCGGGAAAGACACATGTGCTCCTCAAGTCGTTTCGTTCAAAGAGAACACCAACTTCAGCGCGAAGTCGTCATCACCGTCGCCAACAATCAGAACCTGCGCATACGACGACAAGGCATAGTGCAACTTCAGTCACGAGAGACAAACGTCATACTGCAAATGTCAAAGGTTTTAATCGCGGAGGGACTCGGCTACAACTTACTGAGCGTCAGCCAACTGATGGCGAAAGGCATCCACCTCGAAGCAAACAGCACAACACAGGAGTTCAAGTTGTACAACGGAAGAGGAGGTCTTTACATCGGCAAGGCAGTACTGAAGAACAACGTGTTCGTCCTCGACTTTGTCCCAGATCTAGGCACCGCCGACAGCGACGCCATCGTCAACTTCACCTCCTGGACGCGCCCACCAGACCTCGATCCTGACTTCAGCCCTGAAGGTTTCTGGTACTCGCACACCATCCCTGAGGCAGAACGAACAAGAGCATTAGCGACGATTCAACATTCGGCAGCAGCAGAGACAACATCGGCAGCAGCAGGGACAACATCGGCAGCAGCAGAGACAACATCGGCAGCAGCAGGGACAACATCGGCAGCAGCAGAGACAGCATCGGCAGCAGCAGAGACAACGGTAACAGTAGCAACAACATCAACACCAATCGCTGGTCCTTCAACAGCACCGATCTTCATCGACGACACTCCACCGACTCCTGCGCAGCAACTGAATCCAACTCAACGGGAAGTCCATCGAAGCGCCAACTTCACTGCCAGCTTCTACTCCAACTCCGACCTATATCGGCGCTCACCCGGACACCGCGCCACCGAAGGAACATGGCACGCAAGAATGGGACATCCAAGCAACACGGTGTTAAATAACACAATAAGAGCAGGCGTGCTCAACAAAGATTCCCTACTCCTAACTGACGGCAGAGAACCTCAGCGAGTTCGCGGAACATGCTTCACCTGTCCCGAAGCCGACTTACCACATCAGCCGTTCGCTTATCACCACAACCCGAGCGCACCAGCTTACGCACCACTTGAAAAAGCGTACAGCGACATCCTGTACAACCGCGAACCTGGACAAGGAGCGTACAACTACACCATCACGTTCATCGATGCCGCCACACGTTATGTTTGGCACCTCAACCTTCCGAGCAAGGACATGGCTTTCGAGGCTTTCGTTGCTTGGCTCCCAGTAGCAGAACGAGAATCAGGCGTGAAACTAAAGAGCTTCCAGTCAGACGGAGGAGGAGAATACACCTCATAGAGGTTCAAGCAGCACCTGGCAGAGAGGGGGATCAAGCGGCTCATCTCCCTTCCCTACGCCCATCAACAGCAAGGCGTAGCAGAAAGAATGAACAGGACCCTCCAGAACACCATGCGCAAGCTGTTACGTGGCATGCACTTACCCAACCACCAGTGGCCCGAGGCAATGGACCACGCTGTGACGCTGCACAACTTGCTCTCGTCATCATCGCTCCCGAACAACGCATCACCGCATCTGCTGTGGACAGGAAAACTGGGCAGCACAAAAATGTTAGGAGTTTTCGGCTGCATGGTACAGTACCGACCCCCATCTGCACGAGCCGGCCGATTCTCTCAACGCGCACAGTGGGGACTACACCTGGGCATTGAAAAACACTACAACGCATGGAAGATTTTTTACGTCGACACAAAGGAAGCAGTTCAGCACGTGATGTCATCTTCTACGAGAACCTCACCCTCCGGACATACCTTGCCAACGTGGCAGAAAACAACCCAGACCTCTCGGGCGGATTTCTTGGCACCCGAGCCTTCGCCTCGGCAGAAGATGAAGCTGACTGGGACGAGCAGAACGTGGAAGGAGCCTCGGAGGAAGCCGGACCTCTTCCCTACTGTTCGGTCAATGTCCCGATGGACGACGAAAATCCACGCGACAGCATCAACTCCGAAGTCTACTACCACTTCGCCGACAATGGTTACGTTACACCTGCACAAGTCAACACCAACGAAGCAGAACGCGTAGGACCAAATTTCAACCCTGCACCCGAAGCGGGTGATGAAGCAGTCTATCCCGAGGATACAACACTCCCTCGCTACACACAGAGTGGACTCCAGATACTCGGCCTCGTCACCGCGGTTCACGGCGCAGCAATTCCTAAGGAGCCTGCCACAGTTCAGCAGGCTCTGGGGGGGGAGCATAGGGAAAAATGGCGCGAAGCCATGGACAAGGAGCTGAAAGCACTGGAAGAACGGAACACCTGGAAAGTCGTTCCCATCGGCGTGGCACGTAACAAAACGGTACTCACCGGAAAATGGGTCTTCCGTGTGAAGACAAAGGCAGACGGCACCATCGACGAGTTTAAGGCACGATGGGTCGTGCGCGGTTTTGACCAAGAGCACGGACGTGATTTCACCGAGACGTTCGCCCCGGTCAGCCGACACACTTCACTTCGGATTCTTCTCGCGATCGCCGCCATGAAGAAGAAACTACGGCAAATTAACGTCGCAAATGCTTTTCTCTACGCACCTGTTCACGCCGAAATTTTCGTCGAACTTCCACACGGCTCCAACGGAGAGCCCAACCAAGTCTGTCAGCTGCTGAAGTCCCTGTATGGCATCAAACAGGCTCCAAGACTGTGGCAGCAGTATCTACACGCTCGACTCATCCGCATCGGATTCAGACAACTACCACACGACCAGGGCATGTACCGACTTACAAGGGCAACGACTACATTTTACTCATCGTCTACGTAGACGACCTGCTCTACATCGGCTCAACCGACGAAGTCACTACCTGGTTCGAAGGGGAGCTGCAGCAAGACCTCACGCTCACGGTCTCGTCTACCGTCACGCAATACCTCGGCCTCAACATTCAGGAAGAGGAAGACGCGATCTACCTCAGCGCCGCGAAATACGCCGACACTATCGCCAAACGCTTCAACCTCACCCCAACCACTATCTCCACGCCTTATCGCTACACCGCCGGAAATCATAAGGAAAACTCCGCCCTACTCAAGCCCGCCGGCATACGTGAATACCAACGAAAGCTAGGATGTCTTCTCTTCGCAGCCGTCACCTGCCGTCCGGACTTATCTTACTCAGCAAGCCAACTCGCCACCTACCTCAAAAGGCCTGAAGCAGAACACATGGCGGAACTCGACCGCGCTCTCCACTACCTCGTCAGTACCCCGACCGTCGGCCTAATCTACCACAAGAACGGAACTACAACACCCAAGTTAATCGGCTACGTCGACGCCGATCACGCCGGCGACTCCGACAACAGGCGCTCACGGGCTGGCTACATTTATCGCTTCGAGCCTATCGGACCTATTTCCTGGCAGTCGAGCAAGCAGGAGCTAATCGCTCTCTCCTCAGCAGAAGCTGAATATATCGCACTCTGCTCAGCCACCAAGGAAGGACTGTATCTTCGCGAACTCCTGGAAGAAGCGAAACTGGCCCATTTACCCAGCTTCTCCCTGTTCTGCGACAACCACTCAGCAATTCGCATAGCCAACAAGAATGGATTCACGAACAGGACGAAGCACATCGCCCTGCGATATTTCTTCGTGAAGGACGAGATCGAGAAGGGGAGACTCGAACTATCCTACTGCCCCACATCCGAGATGGCAGCTGACTACTTGACCAAGAAGCTCGGAAAGCAGAAGTTCGAGTACTGCATGCTGCTGACTGGACAAAGCCACGTCACCAGCAGCGACACTCCAGGAGCGAAGGGGAGTGTTGGAAACAAGTAATTTAAGCGCATCTGTCGTGGCGAAACACGAAGTCACAAACGAAGCGAATCACAGCGAAGCATCGGCGAGTCAACCCTCGGAAGTTGAGCAACTGCTGGAGGTTACGTGAAAGTCAAAGGTCAGCGACCTTTGACCTGACGAGTACAGCGCGACAGCAAGGACAAACAATTGACTCGTTATTGAGCAGTTGCCCGAGTCGTCACTGTATCGAACCGCAACAGCAATACGGTAGTAAAACAGTTATTAACTGTATCCCTTCGTATTCCCTGTACTCTTATAAAACCTTGTATCTCTTTGTCTTGATCAATCTACTTTGCCTTCACATACCAGCGCAAGGTGGTTCACAGACTTATCATTAAACGCTTCCGCTACTACATTGTTCCTACTCAAAGTTTAGTCCTGCAAAGATCCTAAGGCTTTTCTCAGCCCAACAGTATGGACCATTTGTTTGGGGTCATCTTGGCCCAATGTAATTTGTAAGAATGCTACAGTATGGTAGTCGAAACAATACTAGTATTGCGTTCAAACAGTAAGTTGATTATCCAAGATTGCGGTACGGGAACAGGATTACTCAGAGAAGTACACGGTATGTTTTCCAATATTAGGTCAGCACAATTGAGGTGGCTGTGGGCAGTGGCTGGCCAAAACACATGGTTCTCATCCCTGCCTCCTGTCGTTCCCTCCCCTTGCTGCGACTACCCATGGTCACAGGGCATACAAGCCTATGCTCCCCAGCACCTCGCATTGTTCACCCCCCCCAAGCCATGTGTCGTGCGCATGTGCCCATGTGCCTGGGCTTTCCTTGCTGCGAAAATCCATGCTCACATCTTCGCTGCATCCCCCACTCTTCTCAGCGTCAACTCTCCCGCGGATTCCCTCACCACCTCACTCAACTCCTCTATCAGCTCCTCCTTCCCTCCTCTCTCCCCCTCCCCTTCTCCCACACCTCCCCCCACACCCCCTCCAGCATGATGCGTTATAAACAGACTCAGCACACGCCAGTAGCGCTGCCCGCCCCGCAGCCACGTGTCCATGTGCCCCCCCGCTGCCACCTCCACGAATAGCGAGCTGCCACCTGTGTTCCGCTGCGCCTCCGCGTACAGCTGGCGCATGTGTGCGGGCGGCACGAGCTCGTCCTTTGCTCCGGATAGGAAGAGAATGGGGGTGTCAATCTGTGGGTGGGGAATCGTCAACGAAGGGTGGGGTTTGAATAAAAGAGGACTGAGATATGTTCTAGAAGAAAAGGAAAAAAAAACACAAAATCTAATAAATCAGGGCGGCATAGCTTGTCCTTTGCTGGTCAGAAGCACCAGGTAGAAAAACATTGGGTGTGTGGGTGGAGGTTTGAGAAAAGAGCATGGGATTTTGAGAGCATCTGTCTGCCCCCTGTAATGTGGCATCTCAGACCTAGGATGGGGGCGTGGACGTGTGAGGGAGGCACATAGAAGGGGCAGAGCAATGCGTGTCTACCATGCGGGTGAAAGGCACAATGGGTGTGGCAACGAGTGTGAAAGGCACAATGGGTGTGGCAACGAGTGTGAAAGGCACAATGGGTGTGGCAACGAGTGTGAAAGGCACAATGGGTGTGTCAACGAGTGTGAAAGGCACAATGGGTGTGGCAACGAGTGTGAAAGGCACAATGGGTGTGGCAACGAGTGTGAAAGGCACAATGGGTGTGGCAACGAGTGTGAAAGGCACAATGGGTGTGTCAACGAGTGTGAAAGGCACAATGGGTGTGGCAACGAGTGTGAAAGGCACAATGGGTGTGTCAACGAGTGTGAAAGGCACAATGGGTGTGGCAACGAGTGTGAAAGGCACAATGGGTGTGGCAACGAGTGTGAAAGGCACAATGGGTGTGTCAACGAGTGTGAAAGGCACAATGGGTGTGGCAACGAGTGCAGGGCAGCAGGAAGAGCAGGCAGGACAATATCGGTCGCACCTCCCATCAATGCCATCATGTCTCACCTCCCTCATCACATCCATTCTTTGTCACTACCCACTTCACAAGACGTTCAGGGGCCTGGCTTGGTCGGACACCGTTGGTGGAAAGCATGTCGCTTAACAGGGATAGAAAGGAAGGACTTGGGTAACTCCAGCGTCCCGTAGCATATACACACAGACCCCTGTGCGACTCTCACCTTGGCGATCACGTCAATCGTGCGGCACTGCGGGCACACGAACCCGTTAAGACTGGTCAACACAGAGGGAAAAAGCTACCCACGCACATGCAGCACGCTCATACACACACATGTGTGCACGGCTCTCTTTGAGGCGCCTCAGCATACTCCCAAGCCACCAACGCACAAACACACATATGTGTGCGTTCAACTCTCACCTTGCCGATCACGTCAATGGTGCGCCACTGTGAGCGCACGAGCCCATTGAGCGGGCGCACGCCCTTGGTGGAGAGCAGATTGCTCAGCACCGGCAGCACCACGCCCGCCATGTCCAGCACTGACGTGAACGTGTTCTCCACCACCAGCGCTGCCACCTGATGGGGGGGGGACGCGTGGGGCACACAGAAGTGAGGGGTGGCGAGGGGGAGATTAAGACGTGTGGGGGGAGCACATAAAAGAGATGGGCGGCGGGGGCAATGATTGCTCAACACCGCGAGCACGACCCCTGGCATGGCATGTCCAGGAGCGACGTGCATGTGATCGCCGCACTGCCACCTCAGCGAGGGGAAGGGGGGGCTAGGAGGGAGAGAGGGACAGTGAGTAGGAGAGGAAAGAGGGACAGCAAACAGTATGTTCTTGCTCACGGTGTGAGACACCTCAACAGATTGAACAGTCAACAGAGTCAACAGAGTCAACAGAGAAAGAACTCACCTTGTTTGGGTTGCGATGGACGACATTGGCCATTGCCCTTTCTAGTGGCCGGCCAAACAGCTTGGGTTGAGTCAAAGGCCAGCTCACCAGAGCTTTCCAGAGAGACAATAAACACTCCAAGTGATGCTTTGAGAAGAGCGAAGACGGAGTGAAGACAGAACCCACCGTGTTGGGGTTGCGGTGAACCAAGTCAGCCCCCACGGCCCCTCCCAGCGACCGCCCAAACACCACGATGCGATCCACGTCTATGTCCTCCCGCCCCAGCAGATGATCCAGTGCTGCCTGCACGGTGCGGTGCAAAGCGGTGCAACAGGGTGGTGTAAGATGCAACGAGTCGGCGACCACAGTGGTCCATCCAAGCACCACGGTGCAGTGGAGAAGTAGAATGGACGCCCTCTTGAGTCTTGCACACACAGTATGAACGTGGACGGAATGGGCAAGCCGGCACGGAGAGCTTGGCATGGTGCAACATGGGCATGGCATGGTGCAACATGGGCATGGCATGTTTGAAGTGGACCTATGCTGGAGCGGGCATATAATGCTTCATGCTTCATGCCACCATCGATGTGAACTAAGAGAAAGGCTGCAATCTGAACCGACCTATCAGATGCTTCAAATCAAAGGCCAATCGGGCGGGCAGACACCATAAACACTTACAGAATCGGAGTCAAACCCAACCCACCCATACCAGCTAGTCAACATACGGTGAGGCACGCACAGCACGGCGAACTGGGAGTACAGTGCATAGCAGCACAGCACGGCGAACTGGGAGTACAGTGCATAGCAGCACAGCACGGCGAACTGGGAGTACAGTGCATAGCAGCACAGCACGGCGAACTGGGAGTACAGTGCATAGTAGGAGGAACGCCGAAGTTTGGGCAGGCCGGTCCATGAGCGGCTGCAAAGGCAACTGGGAAGGCCAACGCAACCGTGCTAAACTAGAACTTGTGCTATGCCTAAAAGACCATTGCGGGGCCCAACACGGCCATAGTAGAGTAGGGCCTGAACCAGCACCAGTCAGCCGCCATGCATGTGCTGCTGCGTTCTGCGATGTCTCAGACGCACTTGGAGGCCATTAGAAACCTAAACCATACCCCGCAGTTACCAAACTATACCTGTGAGTGCAATCTAATGCCTCTCTGAAACATCTCTTTTTTTTTCTGGAAGGGGTGGGGGGAGGACGTCTGAAAACTAGTTTATCGAACAAGTGAAACCCATACCCGGCAATGACCATAGTACAATTGTCACCTGTCCAGGACAAACCTTACCTGCGCGTCCAATCTAAGGCCCTGCTCTGTCGGCTTGCCCTCGCTGGCTCCGTACCTGCGTGAGAGAGTGGGGGAGAAGGGGAGAGGGGGAGAGGAGGGGAGAGGAAGAGTGGGGGAGGAGGGGAGGGGGAGAGGGGGAGAGGGAGGGAGGGGGAGAGGGGGAAGGGGGAGATGGGGAAGGGGGAGATGGGGAAGAGGGAGATGGGGAAGGGGGAGATGGGGACGGGAGGAGAGGGGGAGAGGGGGAGGAAGAGAGTAACAGACGAAAATTTGTTTGTAAAAGGAACAGAATGGAGGGAGTGTGTTGGATGAGTGTGTGCATGAGGGAGTGAAGAGGAGGGTTGGGAGAGAAGCAGGAGGGTTGGGAGAGAAGCAGGAGGGTTGGGAGAGAAGCAGGAGGCCACGCCAACATGACATTTGCAGATAACGCCAGAATAGAAAAGCACAAACTGCAAAGGTGTGAGAAACGGCATGGATAATAGCAGTAGCATGGATAATAGCAGTAGCATGGTAGCAGCCGTTCACCCTTGCACCCCGGTAGCAGCCGTTCACCCTTGCACCCCGGTAGGAGAGCAGCAGAGAGAAGCGATCTCATTCAATTTCTAAGATCTCACCCGCGGTAGGAGAGCAGCAGCATGTTGCAATGAAGGCGGTCCATGGTGTAACGTGATGACTCCAGGCGATGCGCTATGTCTTTGTGCGCCCCATGACATTACAGTGGCGGTTGCAAGAGAGCGATGATTGCAGAGAGGGGTGATTGCAGAGAGGGGTGATTGCAGAGAGGGGTGATTGCAGAGAGGGATGATTGCAGAGAGGGATGATTGCAGAGAGGGATGATTGCAGAGAGGGGTGATTGCAGAGAGGGATGATTGCAGAGAGGGATGATTGCAGAGAGGGATGATTGCAGAGAGGGATGATTGCAGAGAGGGGTGATTGCAGAGAGGGATGATTGCAGAGAGGGATTGCAGAGAGGGATGATTGCAGAGAGGGGTGATTGCAGAGAGGGATGATTGCAGAGAGGGGTGATTGCAGAGAGGGATGATTGCAGAGAGGGATGATTGCAGAGAGATGATTGCATTTGCATTAGAATGACAAGAGGAGACGTTAAGGAGCAACTAAAAGAAAAGAGATCGTATTCGATGTGGAACGAAGCATGCTAATGAAGAAGGAATGCGGGAGAGACATAAATTGAGACAAAAAAAAAGGATAGGGGGAGATAAGAGAGGGGGTGAGAGAGGAGTCCAGGAAATGGGGGCAAAGACGAGAAGGTGGGAGAGAGGAAATGGGGGCAAAGACGAGAAGGTGGAAGAGAGGAAATGGAGGGAAAGAGGAGAAGGTGGGAGAGAGGAAATGGGGGGAAAGAGGAGAAGGTGGGAGAGAGGAAATGGGGGGAAAGAGGAGAAGTTGGGAGAGAGGAAATGGGGGCAAAGACGAGAAGGTGGGAGAGAGGAAATGGGGGCAAAGACGAGAAGGTGGGAGAGAGGAAATGGGGGGAAAGAGGAGAAGGTGGGAGAGAGGAAATGGGGGGAAAGAGGAGAAGGTGGGAGAGAGGAAATGGGGGGAAAGAGGAGAAGGTGGGAGAGAGGAAATGGGGGGGAAGAGGAGAAGGTGGGAGAGAGGAAATGGGGGGAAAGAGGAGAAGGTGGGAGAGAGGAAATGGGGGGAAAGAGGAGAAGGTGGGAGAGAGGAAATGGGGGCAAAGACGAGAAGGTGGGAGAGAGGAAATGGGGGCAAAGACGAGAAGGTGGGAGAGAGAAAAAAGGGGGGAAAGAGGAGAAGGTGGGAGAGAGGAAATGGGGGGAAAGGGGAGAAGGTGGGAGAGAGGAAATGGGGGGAAAGAGGAGAAGGTGGGAGAAAGGAAATGGGGGGAAAGAGGAGAAGGTGGGAGAGAGGAAATGGGGGGAAAGAGGAGAAGGTGGGAGAGAGGAAATGGGGGGAAAGAGGAGAAGGTGGGAGAGAGGAAATGGGGGGAAAGAGGAGAAGGTGGGAGAGAGGAAATGGGGGAAAAGAGGAGAAGGTGGGAGAGAGGAAATGGGGGCAAAGAGGAGAAGGTGGGAGAGAGGAAATCGGGGGAAAGAGGAGAAGGTGGGAGAGAGGAAATGGTTGGAAAGAGGAGAAGGTGGGAGAGAGGAAATGGGGGGGAAGAGGAGAAGGTGGGAGAGAGGAAATGGGGGGAAAGAGGAGAAGGTGGGAGAGAGGAAATGGGGGGAAAGAGGAGAAGGTGGGGGTGAGGGAATGGGGGGAAAGAGGAGAAGGTGGGAGAGAGGAAATGGGGGGAAAGAGGAGAAGGTGGGAGAGAGGAAATGGGGGGAAAGAGGAGAAGGTGGGAGAGAGGAAATGGGGGGAAAGAGGAGAAGGTGGGAGAGAGGAAATGGGGGAAAAGAGGAGGTGGGAGAGAGGAAATGGGGGAAAAGAGGAGAAGGTGGGAGAGAGGAAATGGGGGCAAAGAGGAGAAGGTGGGAGAGAGGAAATCGGGGGAAAGAGGAGAAGGTGGGAGAGAGGAAATGGTTGGAAAGAGGAGAAGGTGGGAGAGAGGAAATGGGGGGGAAGAGGAGAAGGTGGGAGAGAGGAAATGGGGGGAAAGAGGAGAAGGTGGGAGAGAGGAAATGGGGGGAAAGAGGAGAAGGTGGGGGTGAGGGAATGGGGGGAAAGAGGAGAAGGTGGGAGAGAGGAAATGGGGGGAAAGAGGAGAAGGTGGGAGAGAGGAAATGGGGGGAAAGAGGAGAAGGTGGGAGAGAGGGAATGGGGGGAAAGAGGAGAAGGTGGGAGAGAGGAAATGGGGGGAAAGAGGAGAAGGTGGGAGAGAGGAAATGGGGGGAGAAGGTGGGAGAGAGGAAATGGGGGAAAGAGGAGAAGGTGGGGGTGAGGAAATGGGGGAAAAGAGGAGAAGGTGGGAGAGAGGAAATGGGGGGAAAGAGGAGAAGGTGGGAGAGAGGAAATGGGGGAAAAGAGGGGAAGGTGGGAGAGAGGAAATGGGGGGAAAGAGGAGAAGGTGGGAGAGAGGAAATGGGGGAAAAGAGGAGAAAGTGGGAGAGAGGAAATGGGGGGAAAGAGGAGAAGGTGGGGGTGAGAAAATGGGGGGAAAGAGGAGAAGGTGGGAGAGAGGAAATGGGGGGAAAGAGGAGAAGGTGGGAGAGAGGAAATGGGGGGAAAGAGGAGAAGGTGGGGGTGAGAAAATGGGGGGAAAGAGGAGAAGGTGGGAGAGAGGAAATGGGGGGAAAGAGGAGAAGGTGGGAGAGAGGAAATGGGGGGAAAGAGGAGGAAGTGGGAGAGAGGAAGGCTTGGTAGTTTGCTAAGCCGGCTCAATACCTTGACTGCATGCTTTAAAGCCACACGGGACACTCTTGCAGGCGTAGAGTCTGCTTGCTAGAATATTGCACATGCCTTGCTTGTACCCCTTAATCAAATCAATGCAGGACCGCTTGAGAGAGAGAGCTTGAAGAGGAAGACAAGAGGTGGTGGGTTAGGAGCGCGCTTTCTGGGATTTCAGGAAAGAAAACGATTTTTGAAGAACGTTAACGGTGGAGGACGTTAACGGTGGAGGAGGATACTTCCGGCATTTTCTTGAAGAAAGAGAACTGTGGGGCCTGCGAGTGGATCGAAAACGGGTGAATGTGGGCATGGGTATACGGGTTAGGATAGCAACAAAGCGGATTAACAGCAAATTATAGGTATACAGGGTCATCCTATGGGTTCGTATTCAACATTCGAACCTGGAATGAACCAATGATTCAATAATCAGAATTGTGACGGCTGGAGATTAGGAGCCAATGCAGCGTCCCTCGGAGATCGGATACTGAAGGAGAAACCTGGGTCCCCTATAGTAAGGATTAGATATACTTAAGATGCCCGAAATCATGGAGAGGCACCTCGAGTGGAGGGGGTGTACTTGAGCAGCCACGCGTGCAGTTTAACGCCGTCCTTCGCCGTCAGCCATACGTCCTCGAAATGCATCCGAAGGCGATCCGGCGTAAACGGGTACTCTCGCGTGGCTCCGGGAACCACGGGGACGTAGAGTAGCTTCTCTTGGAAGGTTATTAAAGCTACTAACGCGGACACAGCGAGGAAACCGACACCCCAAAGAGCATCGCGAAGGAAATTGTCCCACATTCTCTTAGATGTAATGAGGTACCGAGCTGTGAATGTCGCTGATCTTAGGGCGATCGAACATTAACTAATAGACGCTGATCTTAGGGAAGTCCAGCTCATCACAGTTCAGGTCAATACATAACCTCTGTTGTAGGGTAACCGCGTCAAATTTCGAGATCAGCCTGGTGACGCGCTCGGTTTTCCAACTTGCAAGACGAGTCACGGACCAGATCGCATTTCTCGTATAGAATCTGAACCGAAAAAAATGCTAACTGAGAAGGGACCACAAATCCAACACCCGCTGCCTCGCTGCTAACAAGGTTTACCTTTCTCGAGGGACTGATTTGCTATTCGTCAATGCATATTCTATCGCCCAGGCGACTATTACCGATTTCGCGAACCAGATGTTTCCTGCTCAACGTAATTCGTACGGGGTTGAGGACGTGTCTCAAATAAGCGAGTCCACGTCGGTCCGACGCGGACCCGACGCCCACCTCGATAACCAGCGCGTGAACCAGCGAGCGACTGGACCGGGTTGGGGGAGTTTTAGCCCCGTGAACCATTGATCCCACGGCAAACCAGCCCGTGGCTGGTCCGAACACTACGGCTCCCAGTTTTGTTTGCGAACTTCTCGCCATTCATGATTTTCGCGCTAGACGGGATAGAGAATTTGCCTGGCACAGGGTAACTCGATTTCAGCATGACTTTCGTCGTTACTGTTGCAATTCGCAAAACCTGTACAGCCCGTGACGCGATGTATCATGTGGACCAGTCCGTGTCTGGTCCACGTCTAGTCCGCGAAATGAGTCGGTCGGACCATAATCCCGGACCAGACAAGCACATTTTAGCAACTAACTGCTTCGGGGCGGACCAATCACTTGAGACACCCTCTGAGGCTGCACCCACCAGGACTGGCACGTGTTTGTGTTTGGGTTGAAGGGTTTTAACCGAACAGTTGGGAATTTGTTACGCAGCTGTGAAACTGCCAAAATGAAATGAGTTCTTGGATAGTGTAAGGAATTTTCTCGATATTCCTTAGCGCACCCTGCAACATCGCGTACAGCAGCAGCCGTTGTTCGCCCGTTACTCCTAACGGGGCTTCGCCGACTTCGCGCGCACTGTTTCACCAAACCTCGCACTGCTGGCCTGGCCGTGTCGGCCTACGCTTCGGGACTAGCCCGAGCCTCGCTTCCAGCGTAGCACTAGCTAGCTCGCACGCACCGCGTTACCGTTTGCATGTTTCGCGTATAAATGTTCGCTCATGCCTTCGCTCACATTTTGTACTCGTTTGACACCTTAGTGCAATTCTCGCTACTTTGATTCATTGCACCCGTAACACTTGGTATTCAGAGCCTCTTCCTTTTTCGGACCGCGCATCTCCGCACCCCAGGGAAATCAACTTTTGATTTTTCACTCGAAGGGACTCACGCACCTTAGCACCTAGGAGCCGCTGTCCTCGCGTTCTCTCGTAAACGCGTGCAGCCACGACTGCGCCTAGACTAAGACGAGCCGACGCCCTTCGACATGGCTGAGCATATCGACGTCACGACTCTCACGCAGGAGCACTTGAACGAACTGCTACCGCAAATCCGCGAAAGCTCTAAGGAAATCGCGGCGCTGACGGCAGAACGCACGTCCCTGCAAAACGACCTCGCACGAACACAATCCCAAGCACCTGGCACTCCGATTCAGCCCGCACCACAGACATCACAGCACGGAAGTGTGGGCAACCCGCGAGCGCCGCAAGTGATGGCGTCGTCCGCCATGACGGAGACGACGACCACGGCACGACACACCCCGGCGCGACGAATGCGGCCAGGAATTAGCCTTGGGTTACGATTTCAGTGCCGGCCGGCGAATCAGCTCTTCCGTCGCCGATGCCGCTAAAGCCGCAGCGTCCGCCATGTTTTGACCCGAGTCAGCGGGGTGGTCCTACCGTTCAGGCGTGGTTTTTCACGTTGAACGTTTTCTTCGACGCGAACTACGTCTCGGAGGATACGGCGAAGATTCGCTACGCCGTGTCGTTGCTGCGTGGACCCGCCATGGACTGGTGGCGTGTCATCGTCACGAAGCCGGTGGACTACGCGACTCTACCGACACGGGAAGGACAAACCGGACCCTGGGCGCCGTCGTATTTCGTGGAGGTGCCCCAGTATCGCACGTGGGACGCGTGGCGCGCAGGTCTGCGCGCTCGTTTCGAGCCAATTGCGGCTTCGATCGCGGCGCGACAGAGGCTCCGCACTTGGCGCCAACTCGGTTCCGTCCAAGACTATACGAGCGGGTTTCTGGCGCTATGCGAGCAGGTGGGATACATGCACGAGAGCGAACGCATCGACCGCTACATCGGCGGCCTGAAGCAGGACATCGCTCAGGAAATCCAGCTTCGCGGCGTCACCGATTTTCAGGAGATTCTCGCCATGGCAGAGAAACTCGATTTCTTCCGCCGATCGAGACCGGGGTCCTACGGAAGCAGCAATTGGGGACATCGGCCTCGTGAGACGAACGAGGGCGCTACGATACGTGCCGTCGCCGCAAATGCCGCTGCCGCACCATTCAAACGGCGCAGCTTTGCGTGCAATCGGCCGGGACACCGTAAGAGCGAATGCCCGGAAAATGCTAACGGAAAGGGGGAAGCTGAGCAGCAGAAACAGACCAAGCAGCAGGGAAACGCTGGGAGTCAGTAGCAGACGGGCCCTCTACTGACAGGTCACGCCGCTCGCCCGACCCAACCGACCCTCACCGAGTCATTGTGCCGGTTCACGCAATCGACCACACCCGGCCGAATAAGGAGGGTACTACGGTAGACAGCCCTATACTGCTTAGTGGGAAAATTGGGACAGACTTAGTTAAAATATTCGTAGACGGGGGAGCCAGCCACAGCCTCATCAACACTGCCACAGCACGAAAACTGCGACTGCCACTGGACAGATGCTTACCTGAGATCGACGTAAGACTGGTCGACGGCACGCCACTGGCGATACGGGAACGCGTGGACCGAGTTCGGATTCGATGTGGGGGTAACTTCACGTTTAGCCAGGAAATGCCCGCAACGACCCTCGACGGAACCGATATTTTACTCGGGCGTGATTGGCTGCGACGACACAACCCACGAATCGACTGGACGACGGGTGACTGCACTGTGCGAGTGAACGGTAACAACATCGCCTTACCTCGCTGGGGCTCGCCTGAGTTGTCGTCGGTGCGTGTCAACGCGATCACGATGAAACGTGCCATAGCGGCAGGAGCTGACGTGTACGCGGTTGACATTCGGGAAGCCGAGGCAGCAGACAAAGGAGGGGATTTACAGAAACTGCTAGCCGACGTGCCGAGTGATCTGGCAAGACTGTTGAAGCAGTACAGTGACATCTTCCCGGACGACTTACCGACGGGACTGCCACCTCAGCGACCGCACAACCACAGGATAGAGCTAGAACCGGGGGCACAGCCGACAGTACAGCGACAGTTCCGACTGACCCAACCCGAACTGGACGAACTGAGGAAGCAACTGGATTACCTGCTCGAGAAGGAGTTCATTCGTCCTAGCTCGTCACCCTTCGCAGCAACGATACTGTTCACACCGAAGAAAGACGGGGGATTTCGCATGTGCATAGATTACAGATCACTGAACAGGGTTACCATAAAATCCCGTTACCCCATCCCGCGAGCCGACGAACTGATCGACCAACTGCGTACAGCCCGGGTTTTCTCAAAAATTGACCTTTGAGGAGGCTACCACCAGATTCGCGTCAACCTACCCGACTGCCCTAAGACAGCTTTCCAAACACGCTACGGGTCCTTCGAATACACCCTTCGGACTGACCAACGCCCCCGCCACTTTTCAAATGACCATGAACGAAGCCTTCCGCCCGCATTTAGATAAGTGCGTCATCGTATACCTGGACGACATCCTGATTTACAGCCCCGACAGAGCACAACACTTACAGGACATCGAAGCAGTTTTTAAGATACTGAGTGCAAACCGCCTACTGACAAAAGCGTCTAAGTGTGAGTTCTTACAGGACCGACTGGAGTTTTTGGGACACATCACTTCAGCTGCAGGAGTGGAAATAGACCCGAAAATGATTGCGACGATTCAAGCATGGCACGCGCCGACCAACTTGACCGAGTTGTAGAGTTTTCTGGGGTTCGTCAACTACGTGCGCCGGTTCGTCCCCGACATGGCGAAGCTGACTGCCCCGTTGACTGACCTGCTGAGGAAGGGGGTTGAGTACACATGGGGGGAGAAAGAGCAAGCTGCCTTCTCGGCCCTCAAAAACATTTTGTGCTCACCGCCCGTACTTCACATCGCAGATCCGCATCGTCCGTTCGAGCTCGTCACCGACGCTAGCGACATCGCTGTGGGAGCAGTACTGTTGCAGGACTTCGGGAACGGCCTTCAGCCAATCACGTACGAGTCCCGCAAGCTTCACCCGCCCGAACGCAACTACCCGATACACGACCGCGGGATGCTGGCGATCGTGCACGCGTTCAAGGTGTGGCGATGTTACCTCACGGGAGCAGACGTGACAGTACGGACAGACCACCGATCCCTACAGTACCTTCGCGCCCAACCGAATCTCAACCCACGACAGATCCGCTGGTTGGACTATCTGGAGTCCAATTTCCACTACACGGTCACGTACAAAAAAGGCGCATCCAACATCGCCGACGCACTCACACGCCCCACCGCCCAACTCCACGCCATCCTACTCGCCCAAACCAACCCACTGTTAACATACCCATTCACCCACGGATACCGTACCGACCCATTTTTCATGACTGGAAATTCACAGCAACTGGCAGAGGCCAGAGGAGTCTATTACGTAAAAACAGGCACCAACCGCATCTGGGTACCGGCGTACTCA